AACCCTAAACCCTAAACCCTAAACCCTAAACCTAAACCTAAACCCGAAAAACCCTGAAACCCGAAAAACCCTGAAACCCGCGACGTCCCAACCACACATGCCCCACGGTATCGCGTCTTGGGGCCGCCTTAATCCTGGGAAACTCCGATAACGGTTACACGGCTTTAAACCTCGGGAACTTCGATAACGGTTACACGGCTGTGATCCTTGGGAACTCCAATAACCGTCAAATACCTCCAAATAAAACCACTCGTACCTCGTCTACGCAATGCTATGAACTTTTCTAACTATACCACTATCAACTTCGTTAAAAATAACCCTACTTTTTATCAAGCTTATATCAAACCCTGAACATCCAGTCTCCCCACTATGTCTAAGCTTGATCAATGTCATATCAACACGCCATCGTCACTCTATCCAATATATATCAACCATATATCAACACACTATCATCACTATATCCAATATATATCGACCCTGCCTCACTACTATATCCAATTTTTCTCTAATATATATCAACACACCATCATCACTCTACCCAATCTTTCTCTAATATATATCAACACGCCATACTCCCTACCTAAATTTTCTCCAACATATATCCAACTCAAAAAAAACCCTAATTTAAATCCCTAAGCTTTTCTCTTCCATCCAACCTATATTAATAAAACCCTAAACCTTCATCGAAATCATATCCTAATTCTCTCCAACCTACCCCTACTTCCACCTTATAATCTAACCCTAATGAACCTAAACTAAAATTTATCCTAGTTCGTTATATCACCCATCTAGATCTTAGCCACCACCACTCCCACCCTATATGATATCACCACATTGCCTTATATCTTGGTAATATGGGCCCGAGCCGATGATCACCACGCTTTATACTTCCATTCCTAAAATCAACCTGCCTACCCAATTATAATCTCACCATCAAATGCGAAGTCTGCTACCAACCTAACACAAAACCCTACAATTCTGAATGTCCACCCACTCGATCCCATCCGAAGCAAGTCCGACTAATCCGAATCATTACGACGAAACGATACCCGACGAACCGTGCCAACCAGCCCATTGCTGCTGCGCCTGATCAAGAAACTCCTACACATATAACACGTCTTCCGGAACCGAAGACCCCTATTACCGGATCCATGAGACCACTTCGGACCGCAGAACGAGATAACCCTGATCGTTCTCTATCACCATCCTCCTCTATGTGTGACCGACCGCAGGAGACTCTAACAAAGGAGCCATTCCATGACCTCGCTCGTCAATACAAAACACTGAACGTGAAGATCCAGGAACTCGAGCTCCAACTGACAGTCCTTCAAGCTCAACCCCTAAGATCCAACCTCCGGATCGAGAACCTGAAAATCGAACGGAATGACGCTATGGCTCATCGTGACATTGCACGTCGACATCGCGGACATCTCGCCAACCAGCTCCGGAACCGAACCCCCACTGGCACACCCATCGTAGACGCTACTGCGAACCGAAAGACTACGAAGATGCCTGACCCTCCGATCCTCCGCGACGGTAAACAAGTCCGATGTGAAACCTGGGAGACCGTGGTCCGACAGACACTTGAAGCGAATGCAGACCATTACCCGCTGCCCGTTCATCGCAAGCTCTGTGTACGGAGTCGTTGCGAAGGAAAGCCTCGGCTCTCGATCGCACCACGAATAACTTCCGACTCGAGCAACCCCTACGTCGACGCCGAAGACATCATGGTCCACCTGAAAACCGGGTGTGCGAATCCGAACCGACGTGCCGAGGCCTACGCTGCATATCGTAAACTAATCATGAAGCCGAAGGACGACTTCCCCGATTTCCTCGCCGAGTTCATACTGCTCGCTGAAGAGGCTGCGGTCCTCGAAGAAACCCGGAAATGGGTGTTGTACTCGAAACTGCCATACCGACTACAGTGTCGGGTTGGGTGGGCAGTCAATCAGGATACTATGACCGTTGAGAACTTCTCTCAGACCTGCCAGAGTATCTCTCGAATTTGATTGTAGTGGGCCTGAGGACTAAATGATGGGACTGGGTTATATCGGCTTATAGTAGAAGACTATGTCAGGAAGAAAATCCCACTGCACTATTCATATCATTCGGAATTATTCCTAGCCAGGACCACACGACAGACTACCCACTATCACTGAAAACCATGGGGAAACGCAGGGAGTATCCGATCCGGAAAGCGGCCAAGGAAGCCTGCATAATCGTTCTGGTGGATAGTGCCTCGAACACCATCCTCGACGTGGCGAGTGACACTCTGCCGGAAGCTGCGAATTGCACCATACCAATTGTGGACATGGTCTTCCGTGTCAATGGACTTATGCTTCGAGAGGGAGAAATCTGCAAATCTCTCAGGACTGCCGTCAAGCTCGATCGCGCAGGGGATAGGCTGGCGACTGAGCAGCCAGTTCCGGTAGTGGGCACGACGAGCCCGCTGGTATCAAGCAATAAAAGGTTAGCAAGAAGAGCTTGGAAAATAGGACGTAAGAACCATACCGAGCAACCGCTATAGATTCCATGCTCGTCAATGTGATTCTGGGCCAGCAGACGAAAGGACTGGCAAAGGTTGGCAATCTTGGCCCCCAGCTGCGCGAGGACCCGGCCAGGCAAGATCCAGTTACGCTCAAACCCGTCGAAATATGGCCGTGTGGGGTCATAGGATCCCCACATCAGGTTCACCCAGGCGATCAGGGAGAGCAACTCGTAACGGTGGCCTTCGATCCCAGCAGGAACCTAAGAGGGAGACCGGGAGTCAGCAAAGAGATCGTGGATTCAATGCGGTGATACTACCTGCTCGCAATTCCGACCCTCCTGGGCACAGTTCTGGCAGTCATTGGAGTTACCGGAGTCCTGAACACAGCGAAACTCAAAACGAGACCCGAAACCATGCTCGGCCCCTGCCTGGATCCAGTTTATAACATTGAGCTGGACGCATGTGAGGCAAAAGAGGAACTGCCGGACCGAGGTGGAGAGTTGCGCACGAACGTGCTGGCCGGAGGGGTTGCTGTCGCCGGGGGCGCGACGACGCTCAGACATGATTGCTGAGGATGAAAAGTACAAAGGGACGTGGCGTCACTTGCGACGAAAGGGGATGAAAAGGGCGATAAGCACACTAAGAGGTGGCGTTAAGGACAAGGCAAAGGTGAGGAGCACACTCAGAGATGGCGTCAAGGATAAGGCAAAGGTGAGGAGCACACTCAGAGATGGCCTCAAAGGACAAGGCAAAGGTGAGGAGCACACTCAGAGATAGCGTCAAGGACAAGAAAAAGGTGATGAAAGGCAGGTCCGTTTACTCTCAGAAGGCTTCTTTTTGCCGAAGAAATCTACACGGAAGGCTGGCCATAAACACACGAGAACGCGTGAAAGGTTACTTATTCCTTATATCGACTCTCATATAGTACTTAATTTGCTAGAGTTGCTTAGATCCGTGCCTCCTTCTCCCCAGCCTTCTGCCACTGTACTCGCAACCAAATAAAATCCCTACACAGCATATTGAAGCCGGTGGTATAGTCTACCATCCCCAGATAATCACACATCGTATCGCGGTTGTGGGGATCAATGGTCTCGCCATACGAATGGCCTGTCAACCGCTGCACGATCCCCTCAAGCCATCGATCTCGGATACTGCGTGCGGCGACACGACTGCCTGTCCGAGCTGTTAGTCGTGCCGGCTGGGTCCGGTGCGCCATCATCGCTACCATCGAGAACACCATCCCTCGGTACTTACACTCCGTGATTGTACCAGGGAAGTGTCCAGGGTCACACGTCCGTCGTGGCATATAGCACTTGAAACATGCTGTGCCAGGTACGAGCTTGACATGACCACGTCGGGACGTCCACCACTCCTTGGCCGCTTGGTTCCCTGGGTTAGGGCACCGCCAGAGATCGTGGGAGACCTGCTCTAGCTCCATCCCATCCTGCGTACAGAACCAGCACTGCTGACCCCACCGGATGACCTCCGCGATCAGGGTCTCGCTGGCAGGGGATCCGGAGTGATCCGTGTACCGGACCTTGGACGGGGTACGCTCGATGCGCGGTGGGGTGGACCGAGGCGTGGAATGCCCTGGAGGGTGCGCGAGGACGGGCGTTCGTGGGACATACGGTCGCTTGGTTGCCGGCGGGAGACTGGACGAGCTCTGGCCTGTCTTGTATATATCGCGAGCAGTGCAGAAAACGGCCGGGGGATCTGTGACAGTAAAGTCATGGGAGATCGGTCGAGCGCGTTTCCCAGATGGTGTGTGGGGACTGAGGTGGCTCACGTCACGGGGAGAGTTCCGCGGCGGTAGAATCGCTGGAGTGGTGGGCGAACGTGCAGCGGCAAGACTGGCTATCCGAGGAGGACTCATCGCCTTAGCACGGAACCGCTCGTCCAGCAGCATCTGTTCGCCAACCGCAATGTCGGCTTCAATCTGCAACCGCTCGGCCTCTTCGTGCTCCTGTGCAAGCTGGGCCACATGGTCATCGTCCACGGCAGGATCAGGGGGAAAGTCTTCAAAGAGGTCCACGTAGCAGTCAATGTCGATATCATCCGGCGCCTCGTCATCCAATGGATCGTCCTCTAGCCACCGACAACCGTGGTAGGAGGGACTGCGTTCGGTCGCACTAGATAACCCACTGGGTTCAGACGTCCAAAAGTCCGTATCGATGGACTGGGTGGACGGACTGTATGCGGTGGTACGAAGATCCCGAACCGTTCTCTTCTTATCGACGCTATCCGGATCCTCTGGGTCTGGCTCGCATCGGTCACACCGCCGCTCGAGACGACCAGCAGCTCCGTCTCCACATCGCTGGCGGGAGTATCCATCCACACAGCCGTCGAGGTACTGGTCCAGGATATACCGTCGACAGTCCCCAGCAGCACAGTCCACAAACCGCCCAACCCGCTCGAACTCGGCCACGCTGCCCCCCCTGCTGGATACGCGGGGCTCCAACTGGTTGGATGATGATGGCCTCACTGGGTAACCCATCCCGTCCGGCGCGGCCACTCTCCTGTGCGTACTCGAGGAGGGAGTAGGGAGCGCCAAGGTGGATGATGCAGCGGATATCGGGGATGTCAACCCCCATACCAAGTGCACTGGTGGCAGTGATCACCGAGGTCTCACCAGTACGGAACCGTTCGAGTATAGCGGCCTTGGCATTCTGGGAGCTGTGGTATCCATCACACTCGAGCACTTCTGCAAGTGCGTTGACGGCAGATACGGAGTTTGCATACACCAGCACCTTGCCTGGCAGACTATCGCGGACCTTTTGCTGGATGAAATCAATCACCTCGGGCGCCTGTGCCGGGCGGTTCCCGTACTGATACTGCCGCTCGACCACTGGCTGGTACATACGATACGCAACGTTCGGCCGCGATGTCCGGTCGCGGAAAAGATGTACGTCTTTACGCTGCGTACGAATCCGCATGAACAGCTCGTCTTCGACTTCAGGGGGAAGCGTCGCGGTGAGGTACACCATCGGGACCTGGAACTTGGTCAGACGCCCCAGTCGCGCCAGGTCGGGTCGAAAGTGCTTCTGATTGTTCAGGATGACATGGCACTCGTCAATCACGATCCGGTCGAGGCGGTAGAGCGCCTTGGTGCGGTTAAGGAATGCAAAAAAGTCTTCCGTCAGCGCTGACTCCGGCGTTACCAGCACAATCGACGCACTGTCGACTGGTCGCCGGCTCTCCCACTCCACACTGGACAGCTGGAGTTCCTGACAGCGACGGTGGATATCCCCTCGGAGTGCCAGCAGGGGAACCACAACCACCGTGGTCCCACGGGAGCAGATCCACGCCGGCAGCATAAAGAGAAGGCTCTTGCCACCACCAGTGGGCATAACGGCGATCACAGGACTCCGTCCCTCCTGGATGGCCTCGAGAGCAGGACCCTGCATACCACGGAACCGCGCCTGCTCATCTCCGGTCATATCACGGAGTTGGTTTTCCAACGACGCCTCTCGGAACTGGAGCTGCCAGTACTCCCGATTCTGCTGCGCCTCCACCTGCCACGGCGAGTGTGGGCCGAGTGGCCTCTTTTCGTCTCGGTGGGCCGTGGCAGATGGGAACAGGAGCCATCGGTGGAGGTCCTCGCTGACAACACGGAAGATCTGCCGTCGATACGCCGTCGTGCCAGGCTGCTCGTTGATCAGGCGGCCGTAGGTCGTGCCAGCCACGTTGGACGAGTGTCCGGCCTGCATGTCGGAGGCGTGTGCCAGCCACTCGGGCAATCCCATGCCGCTCTCGTCGTCTGGATCATCCGGTTCATCCTGTCCACTATCCTGGGCTTGGACCGATTGATGCACAGCACGGAGGAAACGGCGACTGATCGCGGTACAGATGTCACGCCATGCGCTCGGTGTGAGGGACTGTCCCTGGAGATCGTGGAAGCTGGCCATCTTGAGCTGATCCCGCAGTCGGTCACGGTTCCAGCTCTTGCCAGTGTAGTCTGGTGGCCATAAGAACGCACGGCGATCACTGTACAAGGTTAGGGATGCGGTCGTGATGGATTGGACAGGGCTTACCGTAGGTGATCCTGCTGGCCTCGCTCGGCTCGATACTCCTGGAGCTTTTCCACAAACGGCAGAACCAGCCAGAGATACCAGACGACCAACTCGCCGACCTCCCGGGGTAGGTACCGATGGATGACCTTAACGTCGTTCGACGCGTAGAATCCCTTGTGGTACTTGGTCACAAACGTGACCATCCCATCCTCGATGAACAGATCGCGAATCCCTCCACCAGGGGTATTGCGGTGTCGGATACTGAGGAGCTCCCGGCCACGTGCTGGCTGGCCGCCGCAGAGGTGGACGATCACGCAGAGTTTCTCCCGGAAGCGGATCACTTTGTCGAGGTAGATGTCAATTCGCTTTGTCGTCAGCTGCCGGTCGTCGATGAACTGGCTCTGGATACTCGGTGTGTTGCGGGTGCGGAGTAACAGCCAGTTGGATCCGTCAACCGGCCACGGGGTCCGTTTGTCCTGCAGGAAATTCCATCCGTCCTTGCTCTCCACGGGGTCGTCGTACAGCTGACTCCATGGGATGGTAGGGATTGCCGCCGTACCCTCGGCCGGGGCAAAAAGGAGTTGGTCGAACAGACACTCGTGCGCGTCGCTCACCCGCCGATGGACGAACGACCGGAACTCCGTCATCGTGAAGTTCAGGTCTTTGTATAGTAGGCGATCCTCGGCCATCCAGCTGACGTGGCCCGGCACCGTACTGTTGAAGTGTACCTTGAGGCCGTACGATCGAAGGTCGAGCATCCATTGGAGAGGACTGCGGGAGCCACGTACCATGAACAGGTCGACCATATGATCGACCCACTGTGCAAAGGTACGGGTGGTTGGTGCTAGTACCGTGGCATGGCGGCCAGACGTCACGAAACTGGGGTCGTTCAGGGGACTCGCACTGTGCCAGTCGGAGATATTGCTCGGATCCTGCATCTGTTGCATCACGCTGGCGGCGTTTGGGTCGAGCAGCATGGCCGTGTGGACCACCATAAACCGAGCAATCTTGATTACCTTGGATAAAATGGGGGGAAGCTATCTGCGGTACGCCATCCACCAGGTCCGTGGCCCTGGACAGCAAGGGCACAGAGCAGCGCGCACTCGTAGTCCTGGACGTGGATCTGCTGGTTGAGGAGTTCGATGCAGAAATCCAAGCATGCACGGTCGAGCTCGGTCAGTGGACGGCTGATATCCGTGGCGTACTGCTCGCCGTCCATCGAATCGTCACTGTCGTTGGAGCACTCGCTGGCGACGTCGTCAACCCCACAATCTTCCTGCGTCTCGCAGCGGCTGAGCACGGGAGGACCGTCAGGGTCTGGTCCATGGAGGGAGAGTCCAGCCTGCCGCCAGAGGTGCTCCCATGATAGACGCTGGCGAGGGGTGAGGCGATAGGACGGGCTCTTCCATTGGTGTGGGGTCTGGGTCCGAGCGAAGAACATGAGGATCTGCTGCCACGGGAGACAGTGGCGTTGGATGTTATCCGCGTCCATATACGCCTGCAGTGGTTTGTGGGGGAGTTGATCCCGCTGCACGCGGATGGCGGCGATGCGGATGGTGTGGCCAGTGAGTGCGGTGACTCTCTGGCTACGGTGGGTGACCGCTTCCATCGCATCCCAGATGGCCGCAGCCGTCCGCTCCGCCTCGAGCTGGTCCCCACGCTCCGGTCGTCGTACGCACTGGATCAGGTCGTCTGGGTCCGATCCCTGGAGATACTCCGCCCACTGGGTACGGCGGAGCCATGGGTTGGCCTCGTCAGCCTGGGCGGGATCGATATCGCGGTTATCGGTGGCCGGATCGCCAAGTGCGGCCAGGCGGTCGAACTGCGTATAGAGCGGATCCAGTGTCGTCGGGTGGGTGTCTTGGACGCTGCGCTTGGCTGGCTGGGCCTCGATCATCACATAATGCGATCCAGTTCCCGAGGTGAATACCTTCTGGCATACCACCTGCGTGGTGGGCTGTGCGGTGCTAGGGACGCCGTTCTCAAGGAGCGCCGGATGGTGGAGGCGCCAGTGCTTCCTCATTGTCTGCGGAGTTCGTGCGATATACCGGCACATATCGACCGAGCCGGCGTTCTGGGCTGCCTGGTAGTCGATATCCTGGATGGTGCACATCAGAGCGTCTGGGTACTCGGCGATCCCGGCAATGGGCATAGGGAGACTGGCTGGCGGGATATAGGAGTCGCACTCGGCCGCTCGGTCCCACTGTTGGACCCGACTGGCGATCTGCTGGCGGACGGCAGGGCTGAGCTTCTTATGCTGGTGGTTGAGGTGACCATTGGTCTCTTTGGGCCGAACTCCGATTTTACATTGCGAACAGACGACCACCGGGTGGTGTTGAGGTGGTATAAATGGATTCTCGGCCATAGTCGGGGATTTGAGGGTGAGCGAAGATATGTCGGTGAATAGGGATGCATGGGGATATATATATTAATTTCCTCCACCATATCGGCTGCATATCCAGTTGCTTTTTTGGATTCATGGTAGGAGCATACCAGATAGGGCTGTGAAGATGACCTATCACCTATATACTATCTGTCACCCCGTTCTCAAAAGAAAAAGTCTAGACACGTCTCATACAGATAGAATTGGTTTTGGGACGTATCGAGCGGCATAAAATGAAATGCGATCGCCAGCAGTCTGTGGAAATCATCTTGGACCTGTCAAGCTACCGGCTGAAACGGGGTATAATATAGCGGCAACACCCACCTCCGTTGGCCGTAAATCGAATCCCCCTGCCGCTGTACGGCTCACCCATGTCAGGATGCCTCCCGAGCGGCGGATTGTCATGGAAAAGTCCAAAGATATAAAGCGACGACACCAGAGAAGCAAACCGTTCCGGTTTACACCCGCGCAGATCGCCCGGATGGACCGCGAGGATCAGCGCGAGGCTCGGGCGAAGCAGATTCGGGAGAAAGACGCGAGACGAATCGCGAATAAAAAGAAAAAAGCCGACGCAGAAGCCAAGGCGCGTACAGAGCGGAGGGCGCGGGGGATCCCAGACCCGAATACCCGTGTGCCGTCCAGTCAGCCACTACTCCTAAAGTTCTTCAACGCTAGCGCCAGACGTGATCGGTCGCCGGAGCCGGTTGAATCGAGCAGATTCGTGGCTGATATAGACCTGCCAGACGGAGCGATTCTCAGTACCGATCGGGTGGTACTTGGCGGGGCCGCTGACTGGGATTGTTTTGATTTGTGGACCGATAGAATCGACGGTGGCGGCCCCGATCTAAAACCGCAGAGGGATCTTGGTAACAATTTAATTGTGATTGGATCTTCATCGGATCCCAATCCAGCGCGAGGCAACGATCCGGGCTGTGGCGCAGGAAAAACATTACCTGGATGTGATGGTACCGATGTGGAGACTGCGTGTGAGACTGGGTATGAGACATACCGAGATGTTACTATAGGGGATATGGAAGAGGCCGGTGAATCATGCTGGCGTTCAAGTCCGCCGGTGTGGGACTTGGATGTGCTCGCGTCTCATATGGCGCCTTCTGCAGGGTTGGGTATTTCTGCTTCTACCGAAGAAGGCGAGATCACGATAGCAGTACAGAGTCCTAGTCAATTGTCCTGCAGTCGACAATCGCCTAGGACTCTGCACTGTATCCCACCATCATCGCCTGTCGTGTCGGCCCAGCGTATATCTCCGGATAGCCAGTCGCCGGTCGCTTCCTGCCAGTATGGAAGCTCGCATTTTGCTTCCTCCCAGTTCGACCCGACCGATTTCCTCTTGGCTGAGGCAACCGTACCTGTTCAACCAGCGATCCGACCGGATAGTACTTGTATTGGCGGATGGGTTGACGACGGAGTTCGGAGGAGGCAGTCTGTGGCTTCGAGTGAATTGTTTTATGATGATACTGCAGGTTGGATGGAGGATATATTTGTCAATACTCACGGTCATCCTTTCAGTGACGATCGACCAGATGTCTATCTTACGCAACTGCCTTGATGATGTTGAGTCGGTTCTAGACTCTAGGTAGGATGGGAGGGGACATGGATGTTGGTGGGATACGATAATCTGCCTCTTTGTTTACGGCATTGGTGCATAGACTCTGCCGGGCGGTATCTACTGCGGAGTTACGGGGAAGAATACTATCTTTTTATCTCATGGAGGGAGACCATTATAGATTCGAGTATATTTCGTATCGATTGAATCTGTCTTGCTGTTCCTAATCTCCAGTAGAAATCAACAATATCAAAGGGAATTGATTGTTCAACGCATTGGAGATCGCATCGAAGGTTCTCGTTCCATTGCGCCCATTGAACGTCCTGGAAAAGGTCTCGAACGGCGACAACCAGCTCTCCGATGGCGGTGACCACTTCCTTGGCGGCCGTAACAATCTCCTTCACCTTGTCGAGGAAGTCCTTGGCGACGACGACAACGCCCAAGACTCCCAGCAGGACGTCCTTGGTGGCGGCGAGGAGTGCGACGGCTTCAGCCATGGAGTCGGACATCTCCGGGAGAGGCTTAGAAGACAGTCAGTCTAGCAACGTCGAGGATAGGGTGGGCCACTCACCATCGCAAACACGATGGTGGGCCCAGACGAGAGTAGATCGGGTGGAGTAAGGTTTGAGCAGGTGAGACTCTGGTAGCAACGGGATCAGTATCTGCAACAGCAATCGGAGTGGTGGGGCTTACCTTGAGTGGAGCTTTCGAACGTGGGTAGGAGTGTGGCAGGTGGTAAGTAAGAGGAGGGAATTGGAGTAGAATATGTAGGTGAGGGATTCCGCGCGCGCAATGGAAAACTCTGTCAATAATGAGCGAGCGCGCGTACCATCAGTCGGGGATCGCGCAATAGAAAACTCTGTCAATAATGAGCGCGCGTGCTATCAATGGAGGATACGCACGCAGTGCAAAATTGACAATAATAAGCGTGTATGCCATCAATAGGGGATCGCGCGCAGTAGAAAACTGTCAATAATGAACGCGCGCACTGTCAATGATAATATATAATGTTGACTCGGGTTTATCACATAGAGTATGGCCCACGTGGTATTGACGGGTCGGCCCGTACCGCTTGCCGTCGTATTCGAACCCTGCGTCAACCTATGACGGTATACTGGGCTGTATACACACTCGGCTGCAAGCTTGCAGTTTATCTAAGGCTTTTTCATTGTGTGATGAAAACTGTCATTGCATTCGGCATCTTCACTATCGATCAATCCACTTGTCATGACCGTCTACCGGTGGTCTGTCTATCCTCGGCGAAGATCACGTTCCAGGAACGGGGCTAGGCGCCTCCACTGGCTGCTGGAACGCTCGTCCTCGTCCTTATCTTCCGACCCATCCCCAAAGTTCTCGTCAAATTCGTCGATCAGATCGCATATGCGATTCATAAAGGCAAGCTGGTTACGCTGGAAGGATCGTGCAATGTTCAATGACCGTCGCACCCCGGGGTGGGCGAATGAGCGGGCGTAAAGAATGCCGGGGTATCCGGTGTGGGGTCTCGCACTGATCTGGCTGTACTCATCTGGTATCCGACCTCGGGCCTCGAAGAAGCGGGTGCGGTACTGGCGCATAGTATTCTCGAGCGGCTTGGTTAGTATGTTGATATTTGACGGGTGGATGTATTCTACTCATAGGTGTGATATCGGTGGGAGACACACGCCATATACGCCGGTGTGCGGTGACCACGTGGACAAAGTCTTGGACGAGGGACCGGATCCTGAGGGCGACCGCGCGAAGGAGTTCGGGTTCGTAGGGGGTCCGGTATTCTGCCAGAGCATGTTTGTGTACTGGACTAGACCCAGGAGCTCACACAACATATAGGCGCAGCCAGGAGGGACCTAGGAGATGAAGATGTTAGCGTGACGTGACGGGGATGTGATCTGGTCAATATATACTGCGTGGATAGCGAGGTATTCCCGCTCGTTGGCCTCGTAATAGCGATATCTCACGGGACAGAACGCAGTATCCATATTCCACGAGTCGAGCTGCTGGTTGAGGTAGGGGATACATGGGAGACTTGGCATTGTAGTGGTGTCAGGAGTAGGAAATTCGAGGACGGCTGTTGGGCGCTCATCTTGTGGACTGGTGCTTGTTGAAGCCATAGTGAGGTGGGAGAGTGAGGGATTTGTGGTACGAGGAAAGTGTCTCGACGTGGAAGCTGGTCGATGCTGGCCTGCAGACACTGGGTTAGCATATAGGATATGAATGCTCGTTGAAACTGACCTTATCGTACTGATGCACAGTGTAGGAAGTGGATCCTCGTCGAGATTAACCTTCACTTACTGGCACAGTGCATAGGTTGTGGGTTCTTGTCGATGTTGGGATAGGTGCGACATCTATGGAGTGTGCAGGATATGATCGCTCCTACATTGACTGCCTGACCTCCTCTGCTTCCACTTTATAAACTTCCTTTACCCCTGTTCATAAGCAGACGCAGTACTCTCTCGCTACCTGTCCACCTCACCTATCTAACTCGCCCTGGTGTGGCCCCTCTGTTACATCATGTATAGTAAGAGGGCCGACGTGATTGATACGTGAATATCTGAACTTCATCGTACATCCAGGTGACCATTCCTCTACCGTCTAAGTCCTTCAGTGTGTCACATACTAATATATATCTCAACACCTCCAGTTCAAAGCTCCATCTCACACTCCGCTTAAACCCAACTCTCTTCGACCAGTCACCTCGCACAGACTGTAAGCTCATACGGCGAAGTCTACATTCCACCATACGCTACACCGACATTGGCACTACGGATCTACATCCCGAATCCTTACATCCAAGCTCAAAGCCGACTCACTCAGTCGACCATCGAATCCTCACAGCCAAGCTCAAAGCCGACTCACTCAGTCGACCATCGAATCACCAACTCGCATCGCATCACAATGGCGTCTCCACGATTCGGCCAATCGCTAGAGAGGTTGGATAAGCCCGTTTCAACCCCTGTATCTTCCCGAGCTCCCTCCCCCGCTACCACTCACCCCAGTGGTGTCCCGTCCTCGGCTCGGAGCCACCACCGGCAGACCAATAGCCGCACATCCATTATCTCGGTCTCATCCACACGCAGCTCAGACATTGAGGAACTCCCAGCCTCACAGCCAGCTGTAGGCGATATCTCATGGGTTGCGAGATATCAGGAGGCTGCCGAAATTCCCCTCCTGGACTGCCTGAGGACTGGGTTCTCACTCGCGTTGATCAACCCGGCGCTACGATCGACAATGTTCGGTACAGAGGAGATGTGTCTACATTGTATTCTGTGTGTCGCCTTTGATGACAAGAGATCCCTGGTGTTTGAGCGGCCTTTCTGCAAGCCTGGTCCTGGAACGACCTGCCAGCGTTGTGTGGCGGGTAACTTGGCCTGCTTCCGTGCACCACAGGAGACCGCTCGGCGTTCATCTTCGGCCCTCCTAAGGGACGGACTGAAGCGTCGGCCTACTATCTCATACGACGCATGGCAGGAAGCCTGCTGTTTGATTGCGCAGAATGCTGGTGTGGAGGAAGTCGCCCTTCGCCGTCAGATGGACTGGGACAATCGAGTCTTCCGGCCACGGGAGAGAGGTGCGGCCATTCAACTAGACTAGTATCCTGGAATATGGAGACAAAGTGTGGTTCCTCGTTCTGTTCTATGATTCGTTCTGCTTTAACCTCTTCAACTATGGGGAATGTATCTGGACCCTGATGTGTTATACCCTATGCTGGTATATGCTGTGGTCCTGATCTTTGAGTTTTTATTTTTTCTTTAATCCCGGTTTGGCTACCTCGACGTACTTTTACTCGGTGGTTTCTGATTGTCTCTGCTTTATCAAAATGCATATTACCGGTGGTTTGATATTCTATATTGGGTAGTTGTATATCGTATTCTAGTTATTATAGATAATGTAGAATTTGTATATATTACCATTGGGCTTTTAATATTTATACCAATTACTATCCGAATTGACATCTACCTGACTTCGACTTAAAGCCCTAAACCCGATTAACTAGAAATTCTTCTATTTGGAGGGTATGCTACCACTCTAGAATATTGCCCCTCAAGTATAGACCCGTTGTCACCTATCTATCGACCAACCAACATGTACCGACAAAGGAAATCTTATAATATCTTAGCAAAAATAACTCTATCTTCTGCCAGCCGGTATATAACACTGTTTGTACAATAAGGATGGCTCGGTCGGAGTCACATTGGCTCGTGGTGTCGCGACTTATAACTCTGGGAGGAGACAGGTTTTCATATAGTCGATGATGATGGGACTAGCCCCAGTGCCGTGACTTCGTAAAAGTATATCCCAACCGTTGATGAGTCGCAGGATATAGTTGCAGAGATCGGTGTTGCTGTATGCGACATTGAGTGATGTAAGATAGTCCATATCGAGTAAGGCCTAGACAGATACAATGTTGTCTAGGGCGTCACATGTATCGACTGTTACCACCCGACGGTCTGTTATGGTCATAACGTTGAAGAGGAATATCAGTTCGCGTGCGAACAGACATACAGCCAGATCGGTTACGTTCGGGTAGGACAGTGGGTCGACGATGGAGAGACGTGCAGTCTGGAGTGCGTCGAGGAAGCGCAGGCGATCCTGTTCTTCGAAGATAACGATATCAGGTACCGGCGGAAGAGTCCGAGTCCGAGATACATTGTACATGTAGACATTGTCGGATGGGGGGTATGGTGTAGGTGGTAGTATAGTGCGATGCGATGGGATTTGAATTGGGAGGAATTTTATTGAATAAAAGCGCAAATTATGGGGGGTTGGTCTTTCTATTGGGGATGAACTATGCTGGGAGATTAATTGTACTAGCAGGGGTGAATTTTTAGTGGCGCTCTATCTATCGTGGTTTTTTTGTTTGGAACATACTATGCTGGGTGCTTCAATACCAACCCCTATTTACCCAAATTATTGGACGTGAGTGTTCGCCGGAAGGTCACTGTCGGAGTGATTTTGAGATTATCTCGAACTTTAACTATATAACTGCTTCTATGGACTAAGTATATACAATATATGTCGGACTTCCGGTTTTGCGACCGGTGTTGTTGTTTTTGTGAGCTGCATATCGAACTCATTATCAAAGGTAGAGCAGGCTCTGATGGTGGCTAAGAATGTCGGTATACTGATATAAGAGGCTTATACGGGTCCTCTAATAGGGGATCCGGCTATGCTCCAATCCAATGCTACAGAATCTGTTCTTACTGCTTATGTGTTCCTAGTAGAACCTCATAATCTCTAAGAGAAAATTGCTTAGCTTGGATACTATAGTATAAGATGTTTAATATTGTAGAGAGGCCTATAATTAAATCGATAACTCTGCCTGTATTTTTAAAAATTTCCTAAATTGATATTTTCTAATATTGCTTCTTGCTTCATACAACATATATCATATCGGCAGGTCGTATACGAACAGGTTCGGCTCGCGACGCTATACTTCATAATGATGATGATGATGATGATGATGATTAATTCACTAACCCGATTTAACTCGCTATTACATACATGCTGCTATGCGGAAGTAGCGTCCCTAGAGCCTCCTCTTCGACGACAAATGATAGTGCATCCCCAGTATCCAACCACCCTGTATGCAAGACTCAGTTTTCCCGAGGTGCTGCAACCTGAATTGTAAGGCGACAAACCGGCCGGCATAGTTAACTAGTGCAAACAATACAAAAGAAATTGTAAAGAAAGTCAATTCATCGCAGAGTGCCCCCCTCTCTCTGCAATACAGCTCTCACTTCGGTCACTTCTCTCACTTCGCTTCCCCTGGCTCCCCGATTCGCCGAGTCCCTGTATCACCAGGACCGCCAGTTATGCATCCTGCATCATACATCATACCCGCAAGTCGTATACAAATAGGTTCGGATCACGACGCTATGCTTCGTCGTCAGTAATAGCCGATCTCTATGTGTTTTGTTAGCGTGAGGTGATATTGCGAACTTAAACATATCACAAAAACAGTCCAGATCCCATTGCAATCAGGACAAAGGACTACTAACGATCTTGTCCGAAATGGTCCAAGGCTCTCTCTCTCTTACTATAAGAATCCCTGGGATCTTACTTCTCTCTCTCTCTCCTCTCTCTCTCTCTTCCCTATCTAAGATCTCTACTAACAATCAGGACAAAGGACCACCAACAATCACGTCCGAAATGGTCATGCGCATATGGTCTTTTTTCGTCAAAGGCTAAGCTGGAAAGGGTCAAAATCCCATTACAATCGCCATAGGAATCCTATTGAAATCGGGATATCGGGACAGACGGGTATCAACAATCAAGACAAAGTACCCCCAACAATCTTGTCCGAAATGGTCCCTTGGGTATAGACTTTTTTCTGAATGTCCGAACTTCACATACGTGACCTGTTACAGTTTTCAGACTCCTCTGCGATATTATACCTACCTTTATCTTCCATTTAAAATGGAGAGCAAAAAACTGAAGCTAAGGTAGGACGTTCCAATGCGCCAAGCTCTATACCGGGTTTTCTGATGCAACAAGAAATAGAAAGGGAACTTCTCGATGTTCCGCGACAATCTGAGAAGACGTGGAATTCATCGATTTGTTCCAGGTAAAACACTCTATATAGTGAAACTGGATGGAATCTAACCAATTGTCGGAGTTTCGATAAACTTCATAAATTGTTGACAAAAATATATTTTAGACTTTATCGACCTCTTACATGTTGATCGATACCTACACTTTTATATCCGCCCTACTTTCTGACCGCGGTTAAAAACGGATCGTGCTAGGTATGGACAATATGAGATTTATAATAATGGTACAAAAGGCGACGATAATAAAAACAGATCAAATAATTTATATAAAGTCAGAAGCACACGTATAAGAGTCAACGTAATCAGATAACAGTGGCTGGACAAAGGACAGCCTGGATCGTACAACCTGAGTATAACTAAAAGAGAGACATATACTATCTATCAAGTTGAAAAAGAAAAAGAAAATAACCAGAAAAACGCAACATATACCTATCACTTATACCCCCTCTTATCAGTTACCACCCGGCTTGACATGTATACCGCATACCGGGCAGTGCTCGGTAAACTGTGGCATTAGACTATCAAGGCAACGGGGGTGGAACCAGTGGCGGCAGTGCGGACGGAGGGAGACAACCTGATCTCCTAGCTGGACGGCCTTAGCACAAATAATACACTTGAGCTTTCCAGCATTGGTAGCAGCGACAACGCCTTCCATATCCGTAGTAAGTGGCTGCTGGTGTAGGCCGGACCGGATAAGACTCCACCCGGTCAATTGATCACCAGCACCGTCAAGTCCGGGGTTTATATCCGAGCCCTGGCCAGACTCAGATGACGAGATTGCTACATAAGGTGTGACAACTGAATAAGGGCCCTGCCAGTTAGGGGGCTGTGTGACACCTTGTGGAACTGTAGGCCAGTGCAGAAGCACGCCCATACTATATTCCAATTGGGCGTCTACCGCAAGAGTAGGAAGTCCGAGTATCTGAAGCCAGAGGGGATAGACCTCACGGAAGGTCTCGTTTATATCCATAAACGAAAGGGTTGTCTCATAGATCTCGACGAGCCTCCTAAGGAAGGTGACTACGTCGTGATGGAAGCCAGTGTTGTTCGGACCGCCGCTTTGGAAGAAGGTATTCAGGAGCATCCAGAGATCCCGCGTCGCGTTGCTAACCGCTCCAGCTGCGCGGGCTCGGGCCGCTCTGTCTAGAAATGGGTTTTGTGAGTCGCGGTAGAACTCTAATGATTCTCGGAGCCCTGCGAGGAGAGCGTTGCGGACTTCCGGGGTCACAGGCCGGATATTAGGGGCGGCACGTTGACAATCGGCCGCGATAGAAGACAGCTGTGCCCGAAAGCTTCCGACCACCTGGCTATGGTCATTTTCGTCGAGGATCGTGGGATAGTTGTGCTCATTCCAATAATGTTCGATTCGTTCAGATAACTCCCAACGAAGGGTAACACCCAGTCGGTAGAGTACCAGTGAGGTAGTCCTAAGGTGTGGGTTTAGGGCAAGAGCAGCCCATGCGCTAATGAGACTTAGAGCGTGCTCCCGTAGATTGGCTGGGTCATAGGAGTCGCGTACTGCATGGATACGCCGTATATCCGCTACCGTCTCTGCACCCACAATGCGGTTGCGAGCCCTGATTATTGTCTCAAAAAGGTCCCAAAGTTGGGCGATAAGGTTGCTAACCTCGGAAAGCGGGGTATTGGTATTTAGGACGAAAGCGCGGGTGGCTAAGAGTCCTCGACGATACCCAGCATTCCAATCCTGCGGAGGCCCTATAAGATTGGGCTCTTCGGGTATGGATGGGAAGCCGTTAATAAACCCTAGATACCGTGTAGTGATCCGATGGTATTCGTCCCTCCAGGCTGTCGCTCGAGTGAGGCGGGGAAGTACTGGTGGTTGACTTAAAGCGCGTTTGGGAGGCATGATTGGAGTCTTGAAAGCAGGTAGTTAAGAAAATGTAGAGTTAGGAAGATTTGGCTTAGATACTCCTATAATATATAGGAGGTCGAAACCAATTTGCACTCGAACTTAGGTTTACAAGCTGGCGCTATATTGCTTTGTATACTATTCTATGCTTTATTGAAGTACTGGGTAGAGTTTCTGTAAGTGTAGAATACCGCGAGTAGTATTCTTAGGATACTAGACTAGTTTCTAATTTAACTTGTACATTGGTATGTTTCATTTTCTTTAAAGGACGAAATAAATAGCAAATGGTTCTAAGGTCCTTAAGACTAGGAGGCTTCTATTTTGGTCTACTCTTAGAAGTTCAATCCTTGAAATAACATGGTGGACAAAGACCCGGGCTAGGAATGGTGTAAAGGTGCCAATTGGCTTTGGGTTTAAGGATAGATATGGTTTGCACCACGAGTTTCATTGTTACTGTTCATGGTTGCAACGGGGAAGACTTTACTTCTTTGATATTGCATCGTCTTGGTCTAAATCCCTGGCCAGCTTTCGATTACTTATTGGGTTGTAACTATATCCTGATACTCAATACGATCTTTATGATTGGTTGAGGTATGATTGTTTGTTATATGGTATAGATGATAAACTATGTGTATGAAGGATTACTCTGCTTAGGGGCTTACGTCCAAAGAAACTTGCGGTTTTATCTTTTTTAGTCTTTTCACGAAAATAACCTGGCTAGGCTTAGGTATGGCCCGATGGCTATACACCCAAAGAAACTCGGAGTGTTGTCTTTGTTTGGCTTTCTCGCGAAAATAAACCTGGCTGCAACATGGCATGGCTTGGTGGCTTTACGTCCAAAGAAACTCGCATTCCAGCTTTTTTTAGTTTTGCACGAAAGAAATCTCGACTGTAGTATAGTAGCGCTCAATAGCGATCAATCAATCAAAGTGCAATTAACCTGTTACAGTCTAGCCAGTTACGTATGACTATGCATACGCTTCTTCTAACCGAAGCAAGAACACGAAACCAAGCCCTGAACTGGAGGCGCTTAGTGCTTCTATATAGGTGCCGAAGCAAGTGGTCTTACTGCTAGTGCTTAATATATAGAAGTTGATAAACTTACAGACTTAAGTTGGAGAGAGAATGAAAAAATTGACATTTAGCAAACGATTTTAAAATCCGGCCTAAAAATCAACCTTATGGGTGGAGCTGCTGCAGTATATGCCGCTGCCCGATCCATTATGTTCTGGGGTTCTACTCGCCAAGCCTAAGAACTGTTCGTCCAATTAGGTAGCCTAGAGTTATTACCCGGTCCACGTGCGGTCCCGGTCGTAACGGTAGCCCCGATAAAAAGATCTAGAGTTTTATGCTTAACAGTACCTGTCTTAAACCTTGTTTGCTTATATGGAGATGTTGGTATTAGGCTTTAAGGCTAATTAACTACCTGGAATGATTATCACCCGACTTTGGCTTATGGTTATGTATTACCAAGGTGCTGCAATTATTTTGTTCGGAGAATACTAGTATTATATTACAAGGCCTGTCAAATATGCTGATTGTCAACCTGCTAACCCACAACTCTAACATGTCCTTGAAGATATCAAAAAAAAAAAAGACTCCTATACTATGCGACCGGGCGTATATCACTGTTTGTGGAAAGGGGTTACCACTGTGAACTTCGCCTTGCGGCCTTGCCTTAAGACGTACAGCGGTGGGAGGAGACAGAGTTTCATGGTGTGGATGATGGGAGGAACGGCCCCAAAGTCGGGACTGATGAGAAGGCACGTCCAACCGTGGATGAGTCGGCCAGCATCCTCGCGGAGATTGGCGAAATCCAAGGAAGCATGGAGAGATGCAATGTCATCTAGTGCATCGAGAACATCCATTGTGACTAGGCGAAGGTTCGAGTGGGTCATAAGGTCGAAAAGGAATGTGAATTCATTGATGTATCTGTGTATGACATCGTCGGTAACGTAGGGGTGGGACTCGGGGTCTATGATGATGAGGTCCGCATCCTCGAGTGCGTCAAGAAGGGGTTTGCGATCATATTCGTCGATAATAACGATTCCAGATGCCTGTGAAAGGGTTCTGGCTCGAATGACACTGGCTATGGCGGAACGGGTGTATGGAGGGTATACTGTAGCTAGTTGCATAGTGCGGATGCTGAGGGATTTGAGTTGGGAGGAATTGAACAAATTGTAAGTGGTGTGTGTAGGGGATTCAGTTTACTGTTAGGAATGAACTGTATTAGTAGATTAATTGTGCTGGTCCAGCTGAACTTTTGGTGGCGTACTGGCTATCATATTTTCTTTGTTTGGGCTGTGTAGTTGGCTCTTGCTACATTCGGTGCTTCTAAGTTTCGGTACGGTGTCTTATTTGCCGAAATGTTTGGGTGTCGGTTTTGTGTGGAAGTAGATCAATTTTGGATGGGTCTCGAGCGAGTAGGTGACTGCATTTGTGGACTAGTAGATTATATGTTGTACTATAGTAGCTTTCGAACTGGGATAGTTGTCTTAACGCTCCCTGCTCTGCATGGTGTAGATTTGAGAGCAGCCGGATTGCTTCCTGTTCGTTCGGTGTCGATATTCCTTGATCCTTCCAGTCGAAGGTCATGGTTGGTTCATACCCCCTCTCTAGCCCTCTGGCCGGGAAGGGGCCGCAGAAGCGGAGGTATGATAGAAGAAGAAAGGTTGGTTTGTGATCGGTATTTATCAATTTAATTAAAAGTCTGTTTGGTTGTATGATACAGCAAGATATATAATGCATATACCAATGTGGTTGTACTTGATATACCGGCACTTTGTAATAGAATCAGGAATCTCTGACTTTTGTAATCGCTAGCAATTCACTTCGGCCTCACTTGACTGTGGTGTTCATATAATACTGAGTACAAAAAATTCTATATCTATTAGTTGTATGCATTAAGGAATACGAAGGTCAACATGCGTGCTGCGGCGGGTATTATCCACCGTGACGATAAGGTCTTATCTATCCGGCTGCCATAGTCGCAACTCCACCACCCCAGCAAAAAACGTCTAGATTTTCATTTATGATTCAAAGCCTTTCTACCTGGGTTCAGTATTAATGAAGCTCACAGTGGACAGTTTATATACACGTTTAGAACTTCTGAAATTTTTATATCGATCCGACGCGGTTTACAGGTAGGACCCAGGGTAGGAAAATAGCCACTTGGCTGTCTTAGTTTGTATTAACTCCCTAAAGTTTCCCATAGTAAAGGTGACCTATAAGGCATACGCTGTATTCTACACTTTCTACCTGGGTTCTATCTCTATAATTTCTACAGTATATCCTAATTCTTACTATAAAGGTGCTAGCAAAGTTACAGAGGAATTTGATCAAGTTTGTGGTAACTATTCAGGTTTTGCATTAAAGTGCTGTGGTTGGTCGGCCGCTCTCTGTCGGTCGGGTAGTCTCCACCATCGCAACTACATCAAAACTATCTCCATATTTAATAGTATACTATATAATACCTACCTGGGTTAAAGTGTTGCTACCTCGATACCAGATATATAACTATACTCTCTATAATCTGTAAAAATTTGAAAGTTGTTAGACCTCATAATAGGTCGTAACCCAGGGTAGAACGCTCTGGTCCAACCATTTGCTTTTCGCCCCACATACGCTAGCACCGTTCTGGATAATAACTTCAGCTATAGATTGCTCACCGTCCTACCTGGGTTCCGATCTTGAAATTTGGAGGACACCTAGAGAGCAGGGTTAAATATCGTCTGGCCAAGTTTCATGAACATCGAGGCTAAGCTGCGGAGTGAACCCAGCCTTGTCATTTTGCATGAATGGGAGGGTATCCACATTTGCGGGAACCAACCAGATCTAATTAAAACCGGTAAGTAATGTATTGAAACCCGCACTCAGGCTCGGTCGTCCACCCCCCATGGGATAGATAGATAGATAGATAGATTATCTTTATCTCGACTATAGTAGTATACTATAAATCTATATCTTTTAAATTAACAGATATTAATCTACTAAGTTAAATCCGTAGTCTTTATTATATAATACTATCGCTAATCTATACCGCTTAGGAAGTATTCGGAGTCTATACCCCTTTTTAAACTTAACTATAAACCCTACGATTATATAAAATTAATATAATACTTTATCTATTATACTATTTTATATCTATATTTTATATCTATATATATCCTTTAAACTTATCATATATCTAAATCTCTACTTATTAGATTTAATATTATATTCTTAATTATATTACCTATTAACCTAAATCTTTATTAACATTCGTCTATAGTAAGCCTTAATAACTCCCGCCGATTAAGTCCCGCCTTAGCGCTAAGTAGGAGCTAAAGCCCTAGTTTTAGTACTACCTTAATATTATTATACCGACTACTTTCCTATCTACGTAATTTTCTAGCCTAAATAGGTATACTCGCACCACTATAGTACTAGAATTCTATTTAGTCCTAGAATACCGGAACTAAAAATTACCTAGTACTATACGACTTATTAAGCCCTAGTCTATAGTATAAAAGTAATAGAATATTATATTAATCGTTTATAAAATCCCTTTTTTATAGCTCTTTATATATATCTTAAAACTTATCTTTACTATCTTATAATGAAGATCCTTTTATATTATTCTTAGCTATTATTAGTATTAACTTATACTATTTAATATATTCTTAACCTTATCTATAAGAACAATAATATAAAGAATATATTTGATTAAGTTATATAAAACTAATCCGAAATAGGTTATAATTATCTAAGATATCTAGAATATCTAGAATACCGAGTCTTCTTTTAATCTACTAATATAAGATAGCTATATTTATTAGGATATATCATTATAGGAAGTGCTATAGTCCGGTATATAGTATAGGATAAACCCCGGAATAGGGATATAAATAAAGATAGGGAATTAGTAGTAGTAAAACTAAGTAGGGATATAGTTAACAAAATACGGTAATTAATATATAGATTATTCACATAGTAATTAGGGAGAAATATACGGTTTTTAATTATATAAACTAAAATTGTATATATTATTAAAAGGGGGATCCTTATACTAAGCCCTATATATATATTTATAGATTCTAATGATTTTATATTTTAGACCAATGTAAACTTCTGCATTTTGGACCAATGCAAACGTCTGCATTTTGGTCCAATCTGAACTTCTGTATTTTGGACCAATGTAAACTTCTGCATTTTGGTCCAAACCGAACTTCTGTATTTTAGACTATCTCCTCCTTTGTATTTGTACCTATAGCTTTCTCTTATATTCTCCCCTATATTCTACCTAACCTAGTAATTTCTGACCGCGGTCAGAAATAGACTATACTATCGTACTGTATATACTCTATACAACCCTACAACTTCTGACCGCGGTCAGAAATCTACCCCAATATCGTAATATCTATATAATATATACGATTTCATATCTTATCGTTATGACCGTGGTCAGAAAAAGGGTTATATATCGAGAGGTTTGATTTGCTAGCCGATCTAGTAGCTAGGAGGGATCCTGAAAAGGCTCTGCTCAAACTTTCGGGTATAGTGTCCTGTTCGCCGAGTAGACTGTGGGAGCGGACGCCGTGACTGGGGACCCCGAGCGCTCGCGTGTGATATCCGTCCCTGGGCGACTCGGTTTAGCTCGGCGCGGGAGAGATTTACGTCCGCAAGGTAGATCGGTACGTCCTCCTGAGCACTAGACGGGCGATTAGTAGAACGAATGTGGATCGAAGCGTTTGGAGGGACGGACCTCATGATCTGAATCTTCATATTCCTCGCTTTGTAGCGGTACTTTTTGGCGTCTCGGCCAGGGTGGATCCAGTCGGATTTGGGGCCCTTGGTCCATCCGATATAGTTGTCGTTCCAGATTGCCTGCCACGCGGTGCCGAACTCCCCGAGGAGCTCCTCGAGCTTCGCCACTTCGGCCGGACGCCAGTGGCGCGATGGGGTCCCGAATCGGTGCACCGGAACCTCGGCCATCGGGGGGTTCGTTGTAGCGCGCCGCGCTGGACGCTGATCGGGCTGTTCCATAAGAGCCTGAACCGCTTGCTCCTCCTGGTGTATTCGGGCCCTGAGGTCGGCATAATCTAGATCTGCGCTGCTCTGTGAGCGGGACCGTGACGGACGATGTTCAGAGTCTGCGTCAGTATATGTGTCGGTATGAGCACTAGAGATAGTACTGCCGTAAACGCTCGGTGCCGCATTGGGGAACTCAACGGCATAGAGGGGTATCTGGCTACGGTCTGCCTGGTGTAGAGATGACTGTGACCAATGAGTTGGTCGTGGAGTAGCCGGTGCTACCCTTGTACGTTTGTCTGTAGGCTGGACTGCTGTGGATAGGTCTGTCCTCGGACGCTTCTGTGGACGTTGGTATGGACTAAGCGGCGATTGGATGCTGGTAGGAGAGGATGGCTCTACCTGGTGGGTAGTAGACGGCCTAGTAGATGATACGAACGGCGATAAAGTGACAAGAGGGGGTGCAACCGGTACTGGAGTGCTAGGAGACGACGGGACTTTGGACGGTGTGGTCGGTACTAAGGTTCTGGGGGATGACGGAACACTAGACCATGGTACCGGTGCTGGAGTTCTGGGAGACGACGGAACTCTGGAAGATGCGACTGGCGTTGGATCTCTGCAAGATGCCGAGGCTCTACCTCTAGGTAGTATATCCCGAGGACGCTTAGTTAGATGCTGGGTGCTCCATATTTGGTCGAGCCGGGTCTGGTTTGAGCTGATAGAACTAGCTCGCCGCTGGCTACTCGAGCTGGATCGACGAGTGGATGGCTTGGAGAGGCTCCTCAGACGACCCTTCCCTTTATCTTGTGTACTTGGGGAAGTCCACTCGGGACTCTCGGAGCTAGCAAGGGACCGTGGAAGAATAATAGCCATTTAGATTAAGAGTGAGATAGTGATTAAGGGGAAGTAGTAAATAACTATCGAATAAACATTGGATTCGACTCTAACTTAAAGCGGTCTATGGTAAACTCGAGTTGGATAATAGATCCAAGGGAAACGCAACCCTCTACGCCCGTGTTTCGAATATAGCCTAGTAAATCGGGTGAAATCGGTAAATATCTCGCTCATAGCTATACCTTTCTGATACATCGAATCCTGAGCCATAAGAAGGTAAGAATCAGGGGGCTTAGGGGGTTTAGGGGGTTTCGGGGGTTTCGGGGGTTTCGGGGATTTGGGCCGCACGTTTTCAGGGTTAGATGGCCTCCCCGCTAGATATAGATATAATTGACTAGATATAGCTCGACTATTGTTGGTTTACGGATACTCAATCTCTATATCTTCGAGATGTCCATCTGATCTACTCCTATTCTAGCCAATATATCCTACCCATTTCTAACCATCTCGGCTTCCTCCAAATTGAACGCTTAGGCTACAGGGTTGAGAAGATCACGTACCACGATCATGGTTGGCCGCCCACGAAAGTATCCGAATCGAGCTGCAGCGCTTGCGGCCCGGCGCCAGCGGTATTCCCAGCGACGGCAGGCGAATACGATCTCCCAGGCGGAGCTAATCCCGTATGACGCTACCAGGCAGCCGCTCCAGCAGCCGCTACAGCAGATTACCTACTTCCAACATACCTCGCTCCTACCGTTAGAGGCGAATACAAGTGAGACTACGCCGCTTACCTCGACTGTCCCGGATACATTTACCGCGCTTCGGGCCGAGATCGACCACGAGCGATTCGGAGTAAGCGACGGGAACCACTTCGATCTCGACGCGACAGCGGGCGAGTGGATGGTCGGTACCGACGAGGTTTCAGAGGAATTGATCCCCCCCCAGGCCGAGAACACCCCTGCGCCAGGTCCCGAGCAGCCCTATACGGTACAGTCGACAGAGGGTCAAGTAGTATCACCTCAGGTCCAGCAACTCGCCTGTAGAATCGCGCAACAGCTCCTCCGGCACCACGGGTGCCCGGCTAACGGCCATATAGAGCCGGAGGCGACCGTGGCGTCGGGACAGCGGATCATCAGCCTCCGGGAGGCGACCCAGCAGACTGTCGTACCAAGTGTACTAGATAACCCGACCTTCCAGCAACATCCTGCCCCCTGGGCCGATGAATTCGCGCCGATGGTCCGTCGGCAGCTGCTCTGCGGCCTAGGTCCTAATGCGACAGCGTCCCCAGGTAGCCCGGGGCCACCGGCGGTAGATCCAGGCCTCGCGAACGCAGCGGTGCCTCGAACGCTACCAGTGTCGTTTGACATCGACAGTAGTGGTGGGTGGGCGACGAGCCTCGCCGTCGCGCGACAGGGACTCTATTGGCTAGCGACCCGACCAGCTACAAGCACCCTCACCAGCTCCCTCCACCTCGACCCGCTCCTCGTCGAGTGGACTGATACCGATACCCAGCGGCTACACCACCGGCACGTCCCCGTACACCACGTCCCACACCTCCCACTCGGGCGGCTACGCGGCTTTGAGGCTATGGAGATCTTTATCATCTTTCCTCGGCTCTACCAGCCATCCCGGAAGGCCTTCGTATTAACCAACGAGGAGTACTCGGAGTGGATGGATCATATCATGCTCCCAGCTCTAGTCCAGACGCTACCCCAAGAGACCATCAGCCGGCTACCGGGGAGTGGGGAGGAGGCGATTAAACGGGGAACAGCAGCCGTAACTGAGGGTACCACAGCCTCGGCTTACCAGCAAGCGCGGATCCAGCTCCTAACGCACTTTATCGGCCCTACGGCTCTCGGTGCCGTATGGACGGCGATCCAGGATCGCCTCTCCCCTATGGCTCACACGGCCAACGAGTACGGCCAGGCGAGGCTGCTCCTCACGTCAAAGAACCTCAAGGGCGAGACGCGGCGGGATACCTGGTCACAGATGGTCCAGGGGTGGGGGAATATATGGCGTGGTGCGGTAGATGATCGGTTTATAACAGGCTCCTTTTTCGACGTGGCAAAGGAGGTAAGCCTTCCCAATCAGATCCTGGGCCAGGAAGCGACCGGATCACAGCATGCCTTAGAGCTCACATGGCGCCGCTGTTGCCTCAGTCAGTTCGAGGAATGGCTGGTACAGACCGAGATGACGCTTCAGAACCAGACCGAGCTAGCAACCATACCTTCTCTATCGCCCTCTCTATCGCCTACCGAGCCAGTTTCCCCTACGCAGAGTCCCACGCAGAGTCCTATACACAGTTCCACGCCATCTCCAGCTCCGACTCAGTCGACTACGCCGTCACCGAAGCCGGTACGGTCACAGTTCTGGCCCTGGGCGCTCCTCCGAGATACCGGGAGCCTAACCGTGGAGACGAAACGCCGATCGACCCTCCGGCAGGCCGGCCTCCTATACGTACAACTATACAATACCTCCAAAGAGATCTTCGCGGTAGGAAAGCAGTACCCGTTTGGGAATGAGGCGCTGGATACTCTCGCACTCCCGGCAGCGCTCGTCCAGGTATTACAGCATACGGGCGGAGGCCGTGCCCACTCCCGTGCCACGTTACTCCGTGGGTACCTCCATACCAAGGCGCGGTGTCACCTGGCTCTACAGGGGGCCCGGGGCCGATCGTACGGAACCCGCGAGGAGTACCGGGTAACGGCGACGCTGCTATCCGCGCTTAACGGGGAGATGGAGGCACAGGGAGGAAACGGGGTGCTCCACGTCCCCCCGAGGGATGTTGCACTACCGCCGTTCTACTGCCATACGACCGACGACGCAGTCCAATGGCTCAGATGGAATCTTAACCGTCTCTGCCTCGCAGTAGAGCTCGTCTACAGTATTAGTCCGGCAAGACAGCTCCACTGGGAACATTCGAGGGTGGCGATGGCCTTTCTCCGTGCACTACACTACGGGCTAGGGGGACAAGGGGCCTCCCCCTCCCACTGCCGGGAGCTCTGGATCAGTGAGCGGACCCAGCCGCCGGGGGAGGGCGAGGATACCGGCACGATCATCGAGGGCCTCGGCTGGGGGGAGACTATGCAGCGGTATGGGTTCGCCTGGTTCCTAGATAAGTTTGACTGGGGACCGATGCTGTTCCGGGAGCCGTACCGGGCTAGGCTCGCTATCCGGCTGCCCTCGCTCCTAGGAAGTTATCTCCCGCGCTACGGGGCAGTACGGCAGCTGCTTGACGACTGGGTGTTCCTCCACGACGTATTCCGCCAGCTGGAGGCCTGTCGGGGGCACCGCCCCCGGGCGCGGAAGATCCTCGTCCTCCTGGCCGATCTCTGCCTTATGGCGTTTCGACGAGAGGTCTTCCAGCGGCTGTCGAGCGTCGGGCGTCTCCGGGGGCCTCGTGCCGCCGCGGCGCTCGAGGGCCGCCAGCCGCTAACTATGGAGGCGCTCTGTGACGTCCTACCGGGCGGGCGGCTGGCCGACCATACATACCCGCTAGGCGCCAGGGGGATCCAGATTAAGCACATCGATACTATGTTCGCGTTCCTCTGGGGGTGGGACGGTGACGGGAGGCAGGGAGAGCTCGTCCAGCGACAGCATTGGGCGTCCAAGCCGTACCGCGAGCTGTTTCGTCGGAGCTTCGACGCGATCGCAGCGACGTACTCCCACGAGACGGCACAGGAGTGGCGGGGGCTAGTTCACGCCACCTTTGTCCGTACCCACTGGGTACTGCCGAACCCAAGCCAACGCGAATTCTGGCCTAAGGGGAGAGGGGGCCGGCTCCCGCTATGGTGCAGCACCCACCCGAGCCTCGTCCAGTACGTATGCCGGGAGATGGCGGGGCAGCTCCACCACGAACCGGTAGTATTCCGCTGGACGCCGACAGACCTACCGACGTTACCTCGCACGGGGTGGGAGAGGAGCACAGAGGCCTTTGGGACGACATTACCAGTCGGCTGCCGGGTCGAGGTAGTCCTGCCCTCGCTACCGACCGACAACATTGAGGACTGGGTATACGAGGACACTTCGGCCACGACGGCCGATAGGGGACCGCTGATACCGCCGCTAGATGAGGAGGGGGACATTGCACGCTGGATCTGGGCGCGGTACCCGCCGCGGTACGCGCTGCGGAAGCTGACCCAGCAGGCGAGGTGGAGCCCAGAGAACCTGATCAGGCAGCCGTGGCTAGTAACGAGCTACAGCGACGACATCTTTACCCGGATTCGGGCGGTAGACCAAGCCCGCTGCGAGGCCGTCGGGCTGCAAAAGTTCCCGAGGTTGAAGCAAGTAGACGCCGAGGAGCTAGACGAGCTTGCGGATCCAAACTCGATCCGAAGGGAAGAACAGCGCGCTATCGAGCAGTCTGCCCGGCACCGCGAACTGGCGGCGAGAGCAAAGACGGCGCTCCGGAAGGTCTGGAAGTATGATACGCAAATGAAGGATATAAAGAAAGGTAAGATCGTTCAGGGTACCAGGGTAATTGGCCGACGGGAATATACGAGAATCGCTGAAAAGAGAGCGTTAGCGCGGGAGGAATTTTCAAGGCCGATCGAGGAGATCCTTACCGAATTAGATCCGGAGCGATTTCCTATAGAACTGTTTGTAGCCTCGAGAAGGGAGCGTATGGCGGAGACGGGGGGGAGACGGGTAAGAGTCTCGAGAAAAAGAGATAGACATCATAGATACCAAAGAAACGAGGCCAGGAGATTATTTAGCGCCAAGGGGGAAAAGGGGGAGGGGCAGGGTCATCTAACTGAGCTAAGCCTAATCAATATATATCAATCTAAGCTAAAGATTACTTCTAGAATAAGATACGCCTATGGTTCATATAACGGTTTCTGACCGCGGTCAGAGATCGTACTAGGCTAGGGAACTTGAAATATATTAGGCTACGTGGCATAATACGGGGAGATGATTGCATTCCTATCTATAGCTGTCCTGGTATAGGAGATGGAGATAGTAATACGCGTAATACAAACGAGCGCGAGTGAATTAGAGAGAACTATCTATCACATATCGTTGAGGATAGTGTACGCAATGCAAACGAGCGCGACCACATCAGCCTCGAAAACCGACCAAACACCATGTAGGCCATATAGGATCTCCCCCGGTATCGAAGTTGAGAAAGGACCTTGGGAGAATCGCAAATCAATTACTACCTATAAGTTGCGGCGTAGGCGAGGGACGATGTGGATTCCTTCTGAATTTTGTAGTTAGAGAGGTTGTAGGCGAAGGACGATGTGGACTCCTTCTGGATATTGTCGAGGTCCACCTCGTCCTTCTGAATGTTGTAGTCAGAGAGGTTGTAGGAGAAGGACGATGGGGACTCCTTCTGAATGTTATAGTCGGAATATATACGGCTATCTTCTAGCCGCTTACCGGCGAAGATCAGAGGGTATTAGTTAGGAGGAATCTTTATATCTACAGATCTTAAATAATTGCGAGGTATACGATAGTAGAGGACGCGACGTATACATAATCTCTCCCCTCTCACCCATCTCTCACTTCAGTTATCTCCCTTCTCACCTATCTCTCACTTCTCAGTGCTTACCTAGCCTAATACGTATCGTTTTCTGACCTAGGTCAGAAACTACTAGAAAGCAACTCTAGTATCTGCCCCTATCGCCGATTATAGTAATATCAAATAGTCATAACCGCTCATTTCTTCTTCTAACTTCACCGTAGACGTATCACCCTCTGGCCGCGGTATGATTTTCTGACCGCGGTCAGAAAGGGGAGCCTACCTGGCTTTCGCCTCTAGGGATTTCGCGATCACGCGAATACTAAACTCTACACTATATCCTACGATATACCGATGACGCGGGATAACCTTGTTCTGTAGGCTAATACGTGTTTTTTTGAAATTCGACTATTACAGGGCTGATAGACAACCTATCATATGAATAAAGAACAAAGACGCAACCAGCTCAGGGGATCCGCTAGAGATTAAAAGATCAACCCATACCGAGCAAGAGAATAAGCAAAGATACACCGCCGGGAGACAAATCATAAAACCTATACCAGGCAGGAGAGACGGAGAGACATAGATACAGCCCCTCTAACTAGTCATGTAACCCTCATCGTCCACGCCGTCCCCGCCGAACTTGGCGATCCGCTTGGGCGTGGGGGGGTGGTCAGGACCGCCCGCTGGGCGCTTAGAGGAGCCGCGTAAGGAGTACTGTCGCCCGCTTTTACTCTTGCCTTTCAGCCCAAGGTCCTGGTAGTCTTCCATCGACAGCCGATCTGCGCAGTCTGGGCCGATGCCAAGCATGTGGCTGAGCAGTTGGTTGGCTAGTTGCTCAATAGTCGCGTCACGGTCTTCGGTAGACTCGGGGACCTGTCGCTCGAGGAAGGGGCGGTATTGGGCCGCAATCTGTGGAAGCACCTTGGTCGTGTTGTTGAACTCCATATACCGCTGGATGGTATGGTCCATGAACAGCAGCCACGCCCGTTGCTCCTCCCGCTGGCCGAGGCGGTGGATACGCCCGATCGTCTGGAACAGGGAGTTGTGGTTGAGAGCTGACTCCATCAGGACGATACGGCTGCATTGTGAGTGCATGTTGAGGCCGGTAGCCCCGCAGTTGTAGGTGGTGACGAGGACCTGCGTGGACGAGCTAGGGTCGTTAAAGCGGGCAATGGCGTTTGAGCGCAGACTGTTGGGCATGCCGGCCCGGACCACCACAAAGTCAAGGGGGAGGGTGCCGAGAAACATTTGGACCAGCCATATGGTAAGGGGCCAGTGGCAGAAGATCAGGAACCGGGGCTGCGAGCTCCCCGAGTCGAAGACGCCTTGCTGTACTAGGATATGGAGGAGGTAACGGAGACGGGGGCTCTGATGCGCGAGGTAGCGGGCCACGGCGATGAGGTTGGTGGGCACCGATGCCGACGGATCCTCGGTGGTTCGGGACCAGAACAAGCCAAACCCCTGATCGTCCCCGCGCTCCGTGAATCGAGAGATCTCTGCGGAGAGGACGCTGGAGGGCGAGCGTCGTAAAAACCGATCAAGCTTAGGCGATACCGAGAGGTGGCAGAGCATCCGGAAGGTGGCCCAGTTCATGGTAGCAGGGCTGTCCGCTGATGCGGCGGAGGCCGCGGCAGGAGTATCGCTGGGGGGCCCGTAAAGGCTTTCACTGAGGATGTTGAACACACGGTTATGGATGTCCTGGGTGTACCGGGTGTACCGAAGCTCGACGGTCGAGATGTGAAGGCGCGGGATGTCGTCGCCGATGACGATCGTAGTACCGTGGGGCCCAATCATCTGGTTGCCGGCCTCACGGGTCAGGCTGCTCAGACGTAGGACGATAGGGAGGGCCAGGAACCCGTTCGCAGTGGAGAGTTTACCACGCCGGGCTAGGACCACCAGACCACGGGGATCTAGCAAGTAGTATGGCTTACCTTCGAGGGGAAGCTGCTCGACCGCGGACCACTGGGTATACGGCTCCAGGGGGTCGCTCGCGGCAGCCGGGGAGGGCGTGACACCAGGAGGGAACTTTTGCGGGCTATCAGCCGGGATGGTAAACTCCGCCTTCCACAGCAACGCCAGGTAGCCGCAGTAGTCCAACGCCCGGTTCCACATGGGGGTCGCGGTCAGACACCAGGTATACTGCCGGTCGAGGAGGGCGACCGACTGGTGCTGGCGTGAGGAGATGGTCTTCAGGCGGTGGCCCTCATCGCAGATCACGCGGTGGAAAGAGGCAGTGAGGTCGGAGCGGAACCGGCGGGGCTGGTGCGCAGTAGCCTTACCTGCCGAGGACGGGCTAGCCGCCTGCTCCTGGAGCTCGCTCAGTTCAGTGACGGCGGCGTCGACGCCCGGGGGATGAGGGGTGCCGACGCTGTCGGTGGGCGGGGTGTGTACGCTACCGGGGGAACCTGGCTCGTCCGAGACCGACGGGGTCACGACGTCGTCGGGGTCGGGCATATCCTCATCCACGTCGGCTTCGGCGGCAGTAAGATCAAGGGCCATGGGGTCGGTCTCCTTCCGCGTGGCCTTCCGGGCGCGGTGCGTCGGCGCGCCATTCTCGTCGATCTCGGTGGTGGTACGCGTGGCCCAGGTATTGTATGATGAGAGGATCACGGTACGCGCCGAGGAGGTTTGATGGGGGGCAGCGGCCGAGGAAGGCTTGGACCTCGCCGAGTGACTCGAGCAGCATCAGCTTACGCTCGGAATCGCCAGTACGGGTTTTGGCACCGTAGAAGAGCCGGACTGTCAGGGCGTCCCCAAAGTGGCGCTCGATCTCCAGGAGCCATGTATCGATCAGGGCCGAGGGCACTAGGATCAGGGTAGGCCGGTATGGGGGCCGGGGTTGGACGAGGGCCGCCTGGTAGATGAGCGTGAGTGCGGTTAGGGTCTTCCCGAGGCCACATGCGTCAGCGAGGATCCCGCCGTGGAGCGGGCTGGCCTCCTGCTGGAGCATCCAGGACACACCCGTAACCTGCCACGGCTTAAGGATCGTAGAGGAGACCGGGTATGAGGAGGGTGGGGTGAGCACCGGCTGCCCGTCGCTGTTGACTGGAATTTGCGTATGGCGGGTTGCGAGATCAAAGGGATACGTGAGACGATCGAGGGACACATCCCGGGCGCAAGTGAGCGCGGCTGGGTCAGCCAGTGGAATTGGCTTATCGTCGGCAGTCTCATCGGCATGGCCAGTAGAGGGGCCGAGAGATACATCGGGGACAGAGAGAGCGACTAACGCCGAGCTCGACGAGATCGCGGTCTGCAGATGGGGATTGGGCTGCAGGCTAGGAGGGACCTCATCGGGAGCAGCGCGAAGGACCGAATTGTTGAAGAACTCGGGGCTGCAGAGGTGGCGGTGGAGCTCGTGGACGTCAGTGAGCGTAAGAGGCGCGCGGTTCAACCGAGCGGTGGTAGGCTTGAGGAGCTGGGTGGTGAGTCCAACAACTAGGTCTCGGTACTCAGGCTCCGAAGGGACGGTATCCATAGAGCTAGTAAGCGGCTCCTCGTCAGCATCGTTAGGAAGGTCCGAGGGGTATAGCTTGAGGAGGTCCAGGAGGGCTTGCGTCTCATCGCGGGACTGGGCAGACGTACCATAGCTGGGGGTAAGAGTGGAGGTTGGACTGGCGGGACCAGGCCGCGAGCTCGTAAGCTCAGGCGGGACGGCGGGGCGGATGTGAGGAGTGGCGGTGAGGTAGGCTTCGAGACTGCGAGCCTTTGAGATTTGGCGGGAGAAGTAGATCAGGATCTTCCAGCAGACCAGAGTCTCCTTAGCGTCGAAGTAAAAGGGGGTCTTAAGAAGTTGGCTCCGTCGGCCAAGATCCTGCGAGCGGGAGAGGAGAAGGCGGCGGACGTACCACAGCGCACGGAGGTCAAAGAGATTAGTGGGCTCCACAAAGGGGGTGGACAGATCCGGGGGAGACAGGGACAGCAGGACACTGCCGTATTTACCGGCATGGTTAACCGCAAGGAGAACAAGGGAGTTGCGGATAAAGCGGAGGCCTGGAGTGACCTGGGTCGAGTTGGCAAACCCAAATTTGTTGTCACGATCTCGGTAGAAGGCAATGATGATATCCCGGGTCGCACTGCACTCGGCACTGATCAGACGGTAGAGGTTTTGGGTGTTGGGATAGCCGATGACGCCTGCAATGGCGGGAGCAGAGTCATCCATACGGCGGATAGCGGCAGTGGAGATGTTGATGGTGCCGACGTTCTCCAGGGACGCCTCCTTAGCCCGAGACTGCGCCATGGTTGGACGTGGTAGGCACGGCGCGACGGGAAAAGTGCGTAAACTGAAACTTGGTTAGTAACTGGAGGGAAAATAGGTAGGCGAGGGGAAGATAGGGGTACGTGAAACTGGAAGGGAATTGAAAGGAGTGAGACAAGATGAGCCACAACACGAGCCACAAAGGCTGGCTTTCTGACCTTGGTCAAAGAGACGCGATCAGTCCTGTGATCATAGGCGGCGGGGTCTCTCGGACGGTGGGGAAAATGGAGGAGAAGGTTTGCAGGGGGGTCGACAGGGGTTTAAATACCTGGCAGATATGAAGTTGTTTGTCTGATAGTCGACGGCCGAAAGCAGGATAGTCTGGGGAAAATACAGAGGAAGGTTTGCCAGGGGGGGGCAGCAGCTTAAATAGATCCATGGCCGGGAGTTGCTTGTATAAGGAAAGGGAGAGAACAACTAAAATCAGGATGTAGTTTCTGACCAAGGTCAGAAAATAGGTGTAGGAAGGCGGATGCATGATCGTGACAACCGTGGTGGATATATATATATAGGATGTTAAACTGCATGACATAAAATATTAGAATACTATGGGCACCACTTACCCCCCTAAGGCCTAATTTCTGACCGAGGTCAGAAACTGTAGTTGTATAGTGTGATTTAATACCTAGGAGTACTGAGCAGTGATGAGGATATATCAAAATGTAGAAGGTCAATATAGTCCGATATGCGGGACGACTATGTGGTTCGGTATGCGGGACGACCACGTGGTCCGGGATGCAGGACCACTACATTTTGGTCCGATAGGGAGGACTACTACATTTTGGGTTATATTATGCTACTTTAAGTGGTGCTGGAGCTTCTAGCCATAATTTCTAACCGCGGTCAGAAATTAGACTAGTTTAGGGAAAATTAACAACTGCGTGCGTATGGTAGAAATATAGCAATTTGACGTGGTCGGAAATGCAGGAGTTTAACGTGGTTCAAAATGTAGGAGATAGAGATGGTCGGAAATGCAGAAGTTCGAGGTGGTCCAAAATGCAGAAGCTTAACGTAGTTCAAAATGCAGAAGTTTAACGTAGTCCAAAATGCAGAAGAAGGGGATGGTCGGAAATACAGAAGTTTAACGTGGTCCAAAATGCAGAAGAAGGGGATGGTCGGAAATGCAGAAGTTTAACGTGGTCCAAAATACAGAAGTTAAACGTGGTCCAAAATGCAGAAGAAGGGGATGGTTGGAAATGCAGAAGTTGAACGTGGTCCAAAATGCAGAAGAAGGGGATGGTCGGAAATGCAGAAGTTGAACGTGGTCCAAAATACAGAAGTTGAACGTGGTCCAAAATACAGAAGTTGAATGGTCCAAAAAACAGAAGTTGAACGTGGTCCAAAATACAGAAGAAGGGGATGGTCGGAAATGCAGAAGTTGAACGTGGTCCAAAATGCAGAAGAAGGGGATGGTCGGAAATGCAGAAGTTGAACGTGGTCCAAAATACAGAAGTTGAACGTGGTCCAAAATACAGAAGTTGAACGTGGTCCAAAATACAGAAGTTGAACGTGGTCCAAAATGCAGAAGAAGGGGATGGTCGGAAATGCAGAAGTTTAACGTGGTCCAAAATACAGAAGTTAAACGTGGTCCAAAATGCAGAAGAAGGGGATGGTCGGAAATGCAGAAGTTGAACGTGGTCCAAAATGCAGAAGTTTAGTTTAGATGACTTCTTCTGCATTTTGGACCAAGCCGAACTTCTGCATTTTGGACCAAGCCGAACTTCTGTATTTTGGACCAAGCCGAACTTCTGTATTTTGGACCAAGCCGAACTTCTGCATTTTCGACCAAGCCGAACTTCTGCATTTTCGACCAAGCCGAACTTCTGCATTTTCGACCAAGCCGAACTTCTACATTTCTGACCATCTCTACCTACTGCATTTTGGACCACAGTCAACCGCTCTATTTCGTACTATATTGTACTACCATAAGCGCTACTAGACCTTTCAGCCAGATTTTCTGAGCGCGGTCAGAAATTATACTCGTTTAGTGATATTTGACAACTGCCGGTATGTTTGAAAGAAACTCGCTCTTTCAGTTTGTTTATGGTGTTTTCGCGAAAATACTCTCGACTGCGTAATAGCAGCACTCAATGGCTGGGCTCAATAGCTATACGTCCAAAGAAACTCGCCCAAAGAAACTCGCCCTTTCAGATTATTTATAGTCTTTTTTTCGTGAAAATACTCCCGACTACGTCGTGGCAGCGCTCAATGGTAGCGCTTAATAGCTATGCGTCAAAGAAACTCGCTCTTTGAGTTTATTTATAGTCTTTTTTCGCGAAAATACTATTAGCTATGCAATACTAAGACGTACAAACAGTTATATTAAGATACTGAGGAGAGAACTTACGTAGTTTCTACTTGAACCAGCGCATTTACGTGGATTTCAAACTTGATAATATCGGTTGACTTCGCCATGTCAACAGTGAGCAGTGACCCCAACGCATATGAGGCGATAGACCAATCCTTTGCCTTCGCCGCAACGCTGAATCTCAACGGACAGTATGTGAGGTCAATTGCGGAAGGGCTCACGATAATCAAAACCCTGTCGCCCCGGGATATTTACCCGGCCGCGTTGATGATCCAGGATCATGCCCACGGCGTCATGGGGGACGCTGTAAGGTCGTTACAAGAGGTACATGACTTTGTTGAACATGGAGAGTTCTGGAGGATGCATGAAAAAAGCCTGGAATCATTCCGAGACTCATGGCAGGTCACACGGGATGCGATAAAAGTCCAGGAAGGGCTCGATCGGTTTAAGGCGAATGTACGGAAGCGAGCGATCCTCCAGTGGGGCGAGCAGCGGGCCAACACTCTTCTGATACGCATAGGAAGCTACGCCATGCTCCGAAAGGTCAGTAAGACTATCAGTGAGGGGCTATCGTACCCTGAGCTCCAAGCTGCTATCAACAACGCGATTGTGTACCGGAAGTCTAGACGTGGCCGTGGCATTCGCCAGTATGCTCGAATCATGCAAATTGATCTCGACGTAGCGCTAGCGCAGCGGAATTTCGAACCTCTCAATCCTGAAACCCTATACACGCTCGCGCTTGGGGTAGATATGGATGGATTTATCTGCTCAATTCGACCAGGTTGCCAAATACGGGCTACGGGCATAATACCACCAGTACCGCTAGTACAACCTACGGGGGCCGCGAACGCTATAGACCCCCCGGGGTCCCTAGAGAAGAGACCCCGCGACGAGACGCCATTATCAATATTATTACCGTTGTCATCTTTACCATTAACCCCCTCTGTTCTATCTGATGACGAGCAGGACGACGAGCAGGACGACGAGGAGCAAGACGACGAGGAACAGGACGACCAGGACGATGACGATAAGGAGCAGGACGACCAGGAGCAGGACGACCAGGAGCAGGACGACCAGGAGCAGGACGACCAGGAGCAGGACGACCAGGAGCAGGACGACCAGGACGATAACGACGACGACGAGCAGGACGACGAGGAGCCTCTTCCTCGCCCTCAAAAGCGATTACGCCTAACTCCTAAGAACCCACTTGCCAGCTGTGGCTGTGCTCTTACAAATGCCGCAATTCGGCGTCTTCTAAGGGGGACCGAGCTCCCCACCGATACCCTCAAGAAGCAGCTACTCCGACAGGTTGCAAAAGCAATGGCGACCCGGAGTGCTGCATATACCTCTCCATCACTATCTCTCTGCAATCTCCATACCCACGGGCTATGTAAACGCTTAGGCCTTTACTGTCGTAACCCGTACGAAGAATTACTCCGGCGGTTGCGTGAGCTATATGCAAATCTTGGGGAATGGGATCAGATGAAAGGTCGGTATAAGGGTTGGTTTAAAAACGTGACAAGTAATCTAGAATCGGGATGGCGGTTCCCGGTTGCGGGTTCGGGTATGCCGAGGGTTGCGAACCCGGTGCTGATACAATCGCTAACGTTCGCTCGACTGTATAAGCGCTGCTGCGGCCGAGACGCCGACCCTGCGGTTTGGGACCTCGGGCAGCAGCTAGATCGAGACGGAAGTATTGTGCTACCAGGGCTGTTTGAATGGCTGGGGGAGGATTTCGACGGGAATCACCCGGGTGGCCTACGGCATCTGATCATGGAGGAATTCAACATGTACGACTGGCATTACCTGGCCCGCCCGTCCAAACCTCGTATTGGCTGGGCTAGGAATATGTGGTTTAGCTTAGTACAGCAGATGGTTCGACAGGACCCCGCATACTATGCGTTCTACGTCCGATGCCGTCCGGATCATGCGTGGAAGCTGGTATCATTCCCCTACTATGCCAAACGGACATACCCCGGAGAACGTACCTTCTTTCGCCATATTGACGTCAATATCATCGACTTTGTCCGTAGTGGGCGGGGGGTCAATGCGCTCCAAGGGAGTCTCGCTCTCTCCGACGAGGATAGCGGCAACTGCACCGAGTTACTCCTAGGGATGTATCGCGAGATCGCTACGTGGCATAGGCGGCTGGTCGACAGAGGGTATGCCAAGGATGGGTATGTGCAGCGGATTGACGCCGACATGTGGACCGAGGATGATGAGGCCCACTTTGGCTATGGATGGACTAAGCAGGTCTGCCGGTTTGGGGATGTCCGGCTAAGTTTACCTGGCCTACCTCACGGGTCTACCGGCCCGGCGACTGCCCACCGTGTTAATATCCTGCCCTGGTTCGTTGCGATCGGCGATGATCACCAAACCTTGGACACCGCGGAGTCGGGTACCTGGGATGACCTCTCGCGCTGCCATCGGGATTTCGACTCGGGTACCAAGACACCGTCCGGTCTGCCGAACAGCACGTACGGTGGTCGGGTGGATCATGTATTTCCCGCGACCGTGCGGCTGGGACGCCTGGGGGCGATTTCAGATGCCCTGGTGGGCCAGACGCGATGGGATCCAGTAGATGTACGGAGGGAGCTGGATGTTTTATTCGGGGACGACGATGATATGGCTTGGGGCTATGTGCAGTCCTGGAGACGTAACGCCCAGCAGCTCTACTGTGATGCGTTTGAAAACCTCGTGTTAGCTAAGAAGGATGCCTTTGGGGAGAATTCCTACTTCTACCGGAGGGAACGAAATCTGTCTACGATCCCGGAGTTCGTTCGTGATAGTATCGAAGATGCTAGGTCCCAGCGTCCCCTAGGTACCCCGGAACCCCCTAATGCTGAAGTAGGTGGCCTTACTGCGGGTACCGAATATATAGAAGCTGATAAACCGACGGATATTAGTATTGGTATTAGGCAGGATGAAAGCTTAGACATTTAGTGTGCGGGAGTATTTAGTGAATTAAGCATTGAATCGTCTGTTTCTTATAATAATATAATACAGAAGAGCTTATACTACTATAAGCACTACAAGACCTTCCAGCCAGATTTTCTAACCGCGGTCAGAAATTATACTCGTATAGTAGTAATTAACTATTAGAAGCACCAACTAGTATCTAAAGTTGATTTAAATAGAAATTGGACGTGGTCTAAATCTGGGAGTAGGCGATGGTCGGAAATGCAGAAGTTTAGTTTGGTCCAAAATGCAGAAGTTCGGGATGGTCGAAAATGCAGAAGTTCAGTTTGAACGACTTCTTCTGCATTTTGGACCAACCCGAACTTCTGCATTTTCGACTACGGCCAACTTCTATACTTCGGACTATATTATACTACTATAGGTACTACTAGACCTTCCAGCCAGATTTTCTGACCGCGGTCAGAAATTACACTCGTATAGTAGTATTTAACTACTAGAAGCACCAACTAGTATCTATACTTTATTTAAATAGAAGTTCGACGTGGTCCAAATCTAGGAGTGGGCGATGGTCGGAAATACAGAAGTTTAGTTTGGTCCAAAATGCAGAAGTTCGGGATGGTCGAAAATGCAGAAGTTCAGTTTAGACGACTTCTTCTGCATTTTGGACCAACCCGAACTTCTGCATTTTCGACCATCGGATTATAATCCATTTTTAACTATACCCAACTACTATATTTTAGACTATATTCTCCCTTAATAAGTAGAAGCACTAACTAGTATCTACAGTATTTTAAAATAGATATATGGCGTGGTTAAATTTCTGGGAGTAGGCAATGGTCCAAAATACAGAAGTTCAGTTTGGTCCAAAATGCAGAAGTTCGGGATGGTCCAAAATACAGAAGTTTAGGTTAGACGACTTCTTCTGCATTTTGGACCAACCCGAACTTCTGCATTTTCGACCATCGGATTATAATCCATTTTAACTATACCCAACTACTACATTTCAGACTATATTCTCCCTTAATAAGCAGAAATTATACTTATATAGTAGTAATTAACTATTAGAAGGACCAATTGGTATCTTTTTTATCTTAAAACAGATATATGGCGTGGTCAAATTTGTGGGAGTAGGCGATGGTCGGAAATGCAGAAGTTCGGTTTGGTCCAAAATGCAGAAGTTCAGTTCAGATGATAACTTCTGCATTTTAGACCAAAGCTTCCCTTTTGGGAATTTTCGACCAAACGCTAACCCGATTCGGAATTTTGAACCAAAGCTACCGATCCAGTTGACAAACTTCAACCCCTTCCAAAGAATTAAATAAAATAGATAAAATTATACAGGCTTCACATATAGGTTTATATATACTATGAGTTTGTCTAAAAAATATAAAAGATATAAATATCATAGAATAGAGGCTTTAATATGTGCCTGTATTCGGCTAATAGACGAGTATACGTTTCTGAAGGAATTCTTCTCTCGCGATAAGGTCGAGACAGCTAACGAAGAGCAGAATAATAGTCTTTATATATACGAGTTTGATCCGATTAGCGATGATAAGGAAGATGGGATGATAGTAGAGATTAGTAATAGAAGGGAGGATGAGCAGCCTACTCTATCAACTGATAACGAGGATCAAGTTCCAGAGTATGATGTCCTACTACCTATACCTAAGGAAGGGAATACTTAGGTACGTGGATTTGTTAGATCCCGGAAACGTATAAGGCAGGATAACGATGAATAGGAATACTATTAGCTTCAAATTGATAACTGTATTATTTAGACCTTGCCAACTCCCATGGGACTAGAAAAATTTTGGTCCCATATCCTGGTCCCATCACTCCCATGGGACTAGCCAAAATTTTGGTCCCATTACCATAGTGGTCCCATGGGAGTCCCATGGGAGTGATGGGACTCCCATATGGTCCCATGGCATACATATTTTTGCCAAGCATTTCCTATTTTGGTTGCACAAAAATGCTAACTCAGCAGATAAAATACTGTTTTTTACAGGTGTATCAACATTCTCACTTCAAGTTTGTAGCAATCTAACTTTTTTATATGGCATACTATTAAAAATAGAAGATGAATATCTCAGCCATATATTTAAATATTATATTCAAGCAAAAGTAAGCTCAAATATGTAAAATTAGGTGTAGGAGATCAAGAAGAAGTTGTTGACTTAGTATCATGGTCAGTCAGTAGAGATATATATATTCACATACATGCTATACTCTCCAGTTTCAACTAAGCTCTACACATATTAAAAATTATACCAAAATATAATAAATCCTTTTTTTTTACAGCATTAGATACTATAGATAGGTCTTTATTTCATCCTTTTATTTCAAAACTACTCTTAATATCATATTATTGGTATAGAAATCAATGTCTGGACTGCGACATCGCCTATGGACGGGCGGGTGGGCACTGCCCACGGGCCTTAAGGCCCTTTTTAGTAACTAAGTAGAATTCCTTGACCTCGTGACCTACATTATTTGTATATTTTTTCTTTATATTTTTAAGTAATTTAATTATATGTACATAGTAGTAGCATTAGCATATAGTAGGTTTAGAAGTATAATGATTTGACACTACTGCCAATTTTCTGACCGAGGTCAGAAAAATGAGCTTTAGAAGCCTTTATACAATGACTTGATACGACTATCAATTTTCTGACCGAGGTCAGAAAAATGGCAGTAGAAGATACAATGATTTGATACGACTGTCAGTTTTTTGACTGGGGTCAGAAAATTGAGCTTTGGAAGCCTTTATACAAGAAATTCCATCAAAATGCTAGGGGATCGGGTTGACCCTCAAAACTGACTATACCCCTGACTTGATGGGACTCCCATGGGACTCCCACGGGACTCCCGCGGGACTCCTATGGGACACCCGTGGGACCCCCACTATTATAAAGCTTGCTTAACCAATCGGGGAGCTGTAAATAGAAGGTCTTACTATCTTATGATCTATCTTCGCGCTAGTTATTACTCGGCCTACTATAGAGTACTCAAGGTATAGAGGATAGATGCGATCGTTAATCAGAAGATTTTTGAGAGGTAAGTCAAGATTATTCTATCCTTATTATACTCCTAAGTCCCTCCCCTCTTTACCCCAGTCCTCTACGATATAATGATTATTGGAATATCATGTCTCAATACGATCTTTATGCTGAGGCTAGCCCTTCGTCCCAGATTGCCTCCTCGCAAATTGGGATACCTCCACCATCTTCACTCTATAATCTTGATTTGATAGATGAACCCCTTACACCAGACCATTCGATTAGCCAGCAGCCGATTTATAGCGTACCACCATCCTCAGTCGTTCAGTCCGAAATTGAATCAACACCTCTTCCACCTAGTCTTCGTCGAATCGGTCCACGAAATCAAAAGTTCTGGGTTCTCTGGACTATGGAGAATAAGGCAGAGTTTATTGAATGGTGGAGGAATACAACTGGTGCTCATCCATACCCTCCACTCTATAAAGTGAACTTCGAAGCACGATATACATCTTCTGCTTGGGATCAGTTTGACCAGGTAGCACACTATCAAACTGGAAAACCAATGGCACTCTGTCGGAGATGTGGAAAGGTGCTATCGCACCCATCATCAACCTTGAATGGGTCGAAATCCCTAACTGCGCACTTGAGTAGCCGCGCATGCAAAACTGGCGCACAAAAGGACTCAACCCAACAGGATATACAACAATCGTTTGAACTTTCGGTAAGACTAGGGTCTTATAAATAATCTATCTAAGGCTAACTTCTATATCATTCTTAGTCAAACCGTGTATCTACTCGAAAGGCCTTTAATCTACAAAGATTTGAGAGAGCCCAGGTAAAATTTATCGCAAACTCTCGCCTTCCATTTCAAATCCTCCGGCACCAAGAATTCCAAGATCTTATAGCAGAGGCACAGCTTTCACCACAACCTTTGAGCCTTCTTTCACCGAAAACTGCGCGGCGTCGACTCCAATCGATTGTCCAGGCAGAACAGCAAAAGCTACTCTCCCACCTCCCCGCTGGGGCAAAGCTCTCGATTGCTCTTGACTGCTGGACCTCACCATTCCAACAAGCGTTTATGGCGATCACAGGGTATTTTGTGGATATCGATTGGGTATATCATGAGATACTTCTAGGCTTTATGCCGGTTCATGGCCAGCATACCGGCGCTCACTTGGCAGAGGTTCTCCTCGGTGTTCTTTCTGACCATGGGATCGTTGATAGGGTGATTGCAATTACTACTGATAATGCGTCAAACAACAAAACCATGGTTGAAAGTCTTTGTGAATCGATCCGACAGATAGATCTCCCGGATTCCACTGAGATTATACGGGTTCCATGCCTTGCCCATGTGATTCAGCTGAGTCTAAAAGATCTTCTTGGCTTGATGAAGGCCAATCCAAAGAATGATAAAACCGCGACCGTATGGTCAGAAGAAAATGGGAGCATCCTTCAGCAAGCAAAGCTACAGAAGGGAATTATTTATACACTTGCAAAGGTATATATCTAACCTCTATAAAGGTATCTTATATTAATCATGATTATAGGTTCGCGCTTTTGCTGTATTCATCAATGCTAGCCCACAGCGACGGGAGGCCTTTCTGAATCTCCAGAGCGACGGAATAAAGCTGGCTCCAATCCAAGATGTCCGCACTCGGTGGAATTCCACATATCTTATGCTCCAGCGTGCCAAGCGCCTTCAGACAATATTCCAGCGGTATTGTACAGAGCACCAGCGCCCTGAGTTCCACATCAGTAAAGGGGAGTGGCGCCAAATCGATTACCTACTCTGTATCACAAAGCCTTTCTACAAGTGGACGGTCGGTCTATCAAAGATCAAGACAACAACCATTCACAATGTTTTTATGGTATATAACCGGCTATTCACACATTTTGAACAATCCCAGGCCCGACTTCGTCGTAAGAAGGTGCCCTGGAAGAAGGCTATGCTAGCGGCTCTTGAAGCTGGAAGGGAAAAGCTTTCGGTATACTACCAATTAACAGAGGAAGCCCATGGTAGCT